CAAAAATAAAATTCTTTGAGGTAGAGAGAGAGACTGAAGCAATCGTGTTAACAAGTTTTTTTATAGTGCCCTTTTATTTCTCTTCGCGTTAGGGTTTTCCTCTTCTTCTTTTTTTTTTATTTAGGAATTTCCAATTTTACCCTTACTTTCCTTTTTTCCTTATTTCCCAATTGTATTTACACGGCAGCATTATTAAAGATCAAATGTAAGAGAGACTATGATAATTCACAATTGTATTTAGACTTAAAAAAATGTTGTTTACAACTTTCAAGTGGAAATATGATTAGTTTTTTTTTTTTTTTCCATCCAGAAGATTTTGATATTCCCATCAATCAAAACCGATTACAAGCAGTTGCCAGAATTTACACAGCCCAAAAAAGAGAAGCAGAGCCCAAAAAAGGGAAGAAAGATCCCAAAAGGGAAGAGCATATCTCAATCGAGCATTACTATACATACTGGAAATAAAGCAACTAACTAACGAAACTTAAGATTTGAGGACCTAACTAGTGAAAGCTGAGAAGAAACCGGAGATCAATGGCTCTTGGATGTCTAACGCTCGAATCAGAAGTACCGGTTGAAGCCTTAATCATAGACAAATTAGCCATTCAAACCTAAGCAAAGCAGCCTCTAACATAACCTAAAGAGACCCAAATCGATGAAGAGGACGTATCAATTCAGAGCAGAGGAATATCGTCTTATGAAACTCACCTAGGCCATGATCTGAAGTCCACCAACATCAACCAAACCACACAAACTAAACCTACGAGACTTTTGCTAGAAAGGCTCGAACCGTTATTGACAAACCTCAACAATGGACTGGAAAATCGGAAATATGATTAGTTTATACAACAAACTAAACTTCTTTTATGTTTTGAAAAAGAAAAAAATCAAACTTTTTATACAAAAAAAAAAGGAAAACCAAAATTTGTTTTATAAAAAGCATCTTTAGAGCAACTTTTTGATGCTTTATGACGTAGCAAAGCACTCTCAAGACTCAAAGACACGTCATTTATTTAGAAAAAAAAACTAATCATAATGCTAATAAGTGTTTTAGTTTTCCACTACACGAAGAAACATTGGTCTAAAGAACAGAACCGAAACACAAACACAAATTGAACCATAAATGATTTATTTTTATTAATAAGTCAAAATGAAATCAACTCTTTGGCGAAAATAAATAAATAAAATGAAATCACCTCCCTAGTCTTTTTAATAATAAAAAAAAACGGTTCTTGAAGATATCTAAATTAAACCAGACCAGAAAGTAACGCTATTTCCTTGGTTTATCAAATAAACCGGTTCTTGAGAAAAACCTTTTCGCCAAGAGCACCTGCAAGAATCAAA